ACAAAAATATTAGAGAACACAGCAAGTGTTAGTTTTTTTTTTTTTTAAGAAAACAAGCAGTTAGTAATTAAATAGAGTGCAAGTCTAAAAAGGGCAAGTTTTTATTTTTATTTATTTATTTTTATTATAAAGAATAGAATTAGAATAGAGAGTGCTAGAGTTAGAGGGTCAAATAAAGATGGAACAGATGTGTTTTTAGCCGATTCTTGAAAAACAAGCAGTTAGTAATTAAATAGAGTGCAAGTCTAAAAAGGGCAAGTTTTTATTTTTATTTATTTATTTTTATTATAAAGAATAGAATTAGAATAGAGAGTGCTAGAGTTAGAGGGTCAAATAAAGATGGAACAGATGTGTTTTTAGTCGTTTCTTGAAGATGGTTAAGGACTCAGCTGCTAGGATTGAGTTGGGCAGGTCACTCCACCAGGAGGGAACAGTTAATGAAAAAGTCTGTTAAAGTTATCTTGTGCCTCTTTGGGATGAACAATAAAGCGACATTCACTTGCAGAACACAAGCTTCTAGAGGCACATAAGTCTGAAGTAATGAATTTAGGTAAAGGGGTGCAGAGCCAGTGGTGGTTTTGTAGGCAAACATTAATGCCTTGAATTTTATGCGAGCAGCTACTGGTAGCCAGTAGGGCTGTGACGGTTGCCGTGACAACCGCATCACCACGGTGGTTGTCTACAGTCACCGGCGGTAGTGCACAGGATGTCATGCACTATATAACAAGCATGTAGGGCTGTTACGGTTGCCGTGACAACCGCATCACCGCGGTGGTTGTCTACGGTCACCGGCGGTAGTGCACATGATGTCACGCACTCTATAACAAGCATAATACGAAGTTTTGTATACAAGTGTAATAACAGTAATAGTTGCAAATTGTTTTATTTAGATTATAAGTCTATGGCATTTCACAAATGACCTCAACGCCATACAGAGCGTTTCCTTTAGATTGGCAGGTTTGAGCGCAGGAAAATACAGTTTATTCTGCATTCAGCAAATTAATTTTGTGTTGGGCGATGGACCTTGTTGGGAAACAAATAATACATCGCCGATCTGGAGCCATCTCCATTCATGTCACCCATCTGCGTTTGTACAAGTGTCTTCAAGTTACCGTGATCGCAAACGCCCGGCTGGTCAGGTTTGGTGAGGCTTTCTCCAAACTGGCCAATGGCTTATGGTTGAAGTGCCTAACTGGATGGTGAAATTGTGATGAAACAATGGGTTTGATGGAACCACAAGCAGTTCTGTCTTGGCAAGTTTGAGTTGAAGGTGATGGTTCTTCATCCAGCAAGAAATGTCTTTTAGACAAGCTGAGATGCGAGCAGCTATCGTCGGATCATCAGGATGGAATGAGAGGTAGAGTTGAGTGTCATCAGCAGTGATATGAAAAGCCATGTTTCTGAATGACAGAACCTAGTGATGCCATGTAGACAGAGAAGAGAAGTGGTCCAAGAACTGAGCCCTGAGGCACACCAGTAGCTAGATGTTGTGACTTGGACACTTCACCTCTCCTAGATATTTTGAAGGACCTATCTGAGAGGTAAGACTCAAACCACTTGAGTGCAGTTCCTGAGATGCCCTTTTCCAATAGGGTTGACAGAAGAATCTGGTGGTTAACTGTGTCAAAAGCAGCGGAAAGATCTAGCAAGATAAGTATAGGGGATTTGGAATCCGCTCTTGCCAGTCTTAGAGCTTCAACAACTAAGAGCAAGGCAGTCTCGGTCGAATGTCCACTTCTGAAACCAGACTGGTTGCTGTCCAGGAGGTTGTTCTGTGTGAGAAAGGAAGAGACTTGGTTGAACACAGCTCGTTCAAGGGTTTTTGCAATGAAAGGAAGAAGGGAAACTGGTCTACAGTTCTCTAAAAGATGTGTTAAGGGTGGGTTTCTTAAGTATTGGGTTTAGACGAGCCTGTCTAAATGCTGAGGGAAAAACACCAGTGTGAAGGGATGTGTTAATGATGTGAGTGAGTGCAGGTACAACGGCAGGAGAAATGGCTTGAAGGAGATGAGATGGAATAGGATCAAGCGCACAAGTAGTAGGATAATTAGAAAGGATGAGTTTGGAGACTTCTGCCTCATAGAGTGAAGAGAAGGATGTGAACGAGTGTATGTTTGCTGGTAAGATGTGCTTGACAGTTTGTGGTGTGGAAAATTGTGCACTGATGTTTTAATTTTATTAATGAAGAACGTAGCAAAGTCGTCAGCTGTTAGATTTGATGAAGGAGGGGGGGAGGAGGAGGACAAAGGAGGGAGGAAAAGGTTTTAAGGAGCATGCAAGAGTTAGACGAATTGTTAATTTTGTTATGATAGTACAGTATGTCCTTTTAGAATCAGAAGAAGAATCAGAATGAGCTTTATTGCCAGGTATGTTTACAAATATGAGGAATTTGTTTTCGTGACAGAAGCTTCCACATTGTAACAGAATGACGGTGACGGAACAAAAACCACAGATAATAAAAATAAAATAAAAGATAGAACAAGTAAATAAGGAATAAAAATATACAAATCGACAATTGTATGTACAGGTATACAACTGTCTATTGTTATATGTACAGGTATATTATGTGCAAATTGAAATGTAGACTGAGTATGTGTGGTAGATAAATAAGTGTATGAGTGAATAAATAGTGTGTGTTCCACAGTTATTGTCAAGTGTTCATGAGATGGATGGCCTGAGGGAAGAAACTGTTCCTGTGTCTGGCCGTTCTGGTGCTCAGAGCTCTGTAGCGTCGACCAGATGGCAACAGTTCAAA